CCCCTCGCCGGCGTCACGGGGGGGCGCGGCGCCCCGCCCCCGAGCCGCCGCAGCGCCTCGCACCGCACGAGCTCGACGAAGAGCCGCTCCGACGCCGCCGCGTGGTCGCCCCGCGCCTCCTCGAGGGCCACGGCGTCCGCCGCCGGCGACGCCGACGACGACGCCCGCTTCCGCGCCGAGAACCGCGGCGTGCCCTCGCCGTCCGTTCGCCACATCTTGTAGGCCGACGACGTCTCGGAGAGCCTCGAGATCAGATCGGCCATCGTGGACGTCGAAATCAAACGTTGCCGTCCGCCAAGCAACGCTTTTTGCGATTCAATTAATTTGGTTGCCTGTCGCCGCGGACATCGATGATCAATGTTTCCATCCTCGTGAGGCACCACCTTCCGAAATCCGCCGGCCGCCATATTGCTCGAAGCCCACGGGAAACGCCTCCGCGGGGTTCGGAACCCGCGCGCCAGTCGCGCGAGATTCCGACCGCGAACGCCCGCCCCGCGCGCCGGCGCCGGGCGGGCCGCGGCGCCCGCGCGACGGACGGCCGCGCCCCCTGCTCCCCGCGGCGCGCGCGCGTAGTTATGGCGGCGCGCGCGGCGTGCGTCGACCCCCGCCTAGGCGTCGGTCTCCGCGAGGACGTTGAGGTGGGCGTCGATCTCCTCGTCGGAGAGGACGTGGCACCGGGCCTTGCCCGCGATGACCATGGCCTCGATCTCCGAGGCCTTGAAGTCGGCGTTGAGGACGCTCTGGAGCGCGGAGATGCCGCAGCGCACGACGGCGTCGGCGTCGTAGTCCTTGAGCTCGTCGACCTTCTTCTCGAGGAAGTTCGTCGCCTCGGACTCCTTCGCGCCGGCGGCCGTCGCAAAGTAGGGGAAGTAGTGGCCCGCCGGGTCGACCTTGAAGAGCTGGGGCCCCTTCTCGTCGTCGACGGCGGCGATGATGCAGATGGCGGCGAGGGCGCGCAGGCTCGCGCGCTGCGTGTAGACCTGGCAGATGTCGCCGACGCGCTTGGCCAGCGAGGCGACGGGCATCGCGTAGCCGTACTGGAACTTGAACTCGGACGCCTCGTAGCGGAGACGCGTCGCCTGCGTCTTGCAGTCCGCCGGCGCGCCCGTCATGAGCACGGCGAGATAATCCGTGACCTTGTACAGGTTCGTGACGGAGCTCGGGTCGACGAGGCGGTCGGGCACCTTCTTCTGCGTGACCAAGACGCACGAGTCCCTGCCGCGCACGGCGACGGACGTGAGGCCCGACGTCGTCTGGGCGCACTTGATCGCGTACTCCACCTGGTAGAGCTTGCCCGCGGGCGAGAAGATGGTGATGTGGTGGTCTGCGGGGGCGGCGCGCGCGGGGGCGCGGGCGGTGATGACGACTCGCGCGCGGGGGCGCGGGCGGAAATGACGCACCGAACCCGCTATCCCGGCTCATCTTTGCGAGCGCGGCCGCCGACGAGGCTCAGAGGCGAGTTGCCCGCGAGGAAGAGGGCCCTAGGGAGCCGTAAGTCATTTCGCACGTCGACCTCGAACACCCGACGTCGCCCTTTTCGCCGACTTTACACATGTAATACCCTTTTACTTAAAATGCAGGCATGTGGGATACCGGACACATTGCGCAAAGGTAGCATATCAAGACGACGACGGCGCACGAGAAAGAAAAATATCATCGGCGAGCGAAGACCATGTGGGCGACCACGTCAAATCAATGAACGGCTGTTTGACTTAGAATGGAGGAAGTGCAAGTAGCCCGCAAAAACTTGAGCGGGCATGTATAACACTAGCGCCGCAATGGGCGCATCACGCATTCGCCCAGTCCCACACTTGGTCCGACGACTCCTGCTCTCCTCGCCTCAGATACTTGTACGGACGCGGTTCACTCATCAAACACGCGGCAGCGCAGTTGAGCTGAGAGAGACAACCACAAACATCTCTATCCGCAATCCTGCCGCACGTTTTGCACCTGCGATTTCGGCTTTTGTCAACGTCTTCGTACTCTCCGTCACAGTCAAGAAAGCAACACATTTTCGAGGTGTTGTGCTCGTCGAGCGCGTAGACGAAACTAACGCGGGCAATACTTCCCGTAACTTCCTTCTGAGGCATCGCTGGATGCTGCTTCCGACCTTGAAAAGTCGAGGCCCCGAAAAACACCGCAACGGGCAGCTCTTCCATTGCACCACCCTTCGCTCTCCGGCGACACGTGCGACCTGGCCGAAACATAGCCCTCCGAGCAGCTCTATCACGAGCGGACATCTCAAACTGGCGACGCTTGAAAGATCCCTTGCACCGTCCGAAACGAGACAATTCCTCGAGCATTGGCTCGAACACGTCTCTTCTGCAAAAGGTCTGCGCATATTCTTCAAACTTCTGGTAATCGCATGTCTTTCGGTGAACGTCGTTGAGCTTCCGGATTGCAGACCCGTACGCAAACTCTTTACGCAATGTAAATTTACCGCGCCGACNACGCTCCAAAAAGGCAGAGCCGGCGGATCCGCGT